CCCTAGTAGCTTCTTGCTCCTAGTAGTAAGGCCAGGAGCCCCTAGTAGCCCTAGTAGCTTCTTGCTCCTAGTAGTACTGTAAGGCCAGGAGCCCCTAGTAGCTTCTTGCTCCTAGTAGCACGGCCAGGAGCCCCTAGTGGCCTTCTTGCTCCTAGTAGTACAGCCAGGAGCCCCTAGTAGCGTCCTTGCTCCTAGCAGTACGGCCCTAGTAGCGTCCTTGCTCCTAGTAGCGATGCCCTTTGCTACTAGTAGCGTCCTAGTTATGCATATGCTATTCTAGGTTTGAAGAGTCCAAAGGCATTTGCCACAGGTTCTCGCACAAAGCAGAATCATTCCATCTGAGTTTAAGAAGGCACGTGCCGGTGCTTCAAAGGATGTCTATCGACCAATGCAGCTCTGGTACTGATCTTGTTGCTTTCGGGTTCTTCTTTCAGCATCATCCTTAATGAAAAGCACACTCATCTGGAAAATAACACAACTTCCATACAAGGGCAAGCTGCTGCATCGTCGAAAAGCGTTGCACCTTCTGGCCTTGCAGGGTGGTGACTTGGAGGGAAAGACTTCAACTATATAGAACATAACTCCATAAAAAATGACTGCAGAAATAAATGATACCAAGCCTGAAGTGATGGCATGCAGCATGTTCTCTTTTGTCTTGTCTTCCTCCTCGCTGTCCTTCAATAAGGAGAGGCCCAAAGCACACCAGTCACTAGATTCATGCTCTAATTTGGATTTATGTCTGGACCCAATCCACCTTCGCAGCTGTTTGCAAGGCCTTTTAACATCATGTTGGCTTCTAGCCTGATCCACTTGGCCATCTGAAGAGAAGCCCTCTTCATCAGCTACATCTTCCCCAGCAGCCTGAAGAAGGCGCAGGCGCAGCAGTTTCGAGCCCTTCATCCGATTGGTTAATGGTTCATGTACCTCTCCCCAAATTTGTCCAAACCACAACCTGGTAAATCCATCAAAATCACTGAGAAATCACCCAAACAAGTCACCCTGGTCATGGCTTGTGCCACGGGAAGTTCTGATAAGAATGTTCTTCCCTTCAAGTCTCAACCCCTTGCCTCTCCGATGGTAGCCAGTGCTGCAGCAGTAACCTTCTGGGCTTCACCTTGGTTCATCTCTGTGCACATGATTTCTCCATACAATGCTCTTCAACCTTCATAAGCCCTGCTCTGTTCTTCAACCTTCATGAGCCATCACAAGTCCAAGGTCTTCGCAGGAAACATTCAGATGCCCGGACTGGGAACCGAACTGGCTTCCTCTTCGTCTTGATCTGCGCCACTCATGGCTTCAATGGAGCCCCATTCTGCACGCACCAGGCAAGGTTTGAAGATCACCTTTGCGGCATAGCTTCGATGAAAGTTCATCCACAGAGCATGTTGTTTTTTAGTTCGTTCACTTCAGGGTTGTGTGATGGGAGAATACTGTCATGGAGAACCACGTTTGGGAGCTGAGAATACCTGTGGACCTCTTCGCGAACGGCTGCCCGACGAAATGTGCCACCAGCGAGGTTACAAGCTGTAGAATCCTGCTAATGCTTCTTGTGGTTTACAGTCACGAATTGAACAAGTCGAGCCCCACATGGCCTTCTCCATCCGCTTCTCCTGCAATCCTAGGCGTCCACAGCTCTGGTTGCCCCATGCCATCATGGCCTGAAGCCAATCACTGTCCATTCGTCCATGAATCTCAAGTTTGGTTGGTATTTCAAGGTATCTGCATATATTTGTCATCACCAAGAGCTGAGCTCACGGATTGAAACCTGAATCGACAACAGTAATTGAATTGCATATAGCATCTGAAGCTGTTCAGACACAAGAGATCTGCCCTTGCTGAATTGTGCTTCCAGCCAGTGCCAACAGTGGCCATATCTTCTTCCATTTACTTGGCCCCACTTGACATTGACGGTTCAAGAGCCTGTGTCTTTATCGAAGCTGGTTTCCAAAAGGTTCTCTCACAATAAGTCTGGGCCACTTTGTTACTAGTTGCAATTCACTTGCTACTAGTAGCGATGCCCTTGTGACTGGTAGCTTCTTGTCACTAGTATCCTCAACGCCACTTTCTTCCACCTGGCCTTGTTCCTGGCGTAGACCACCATGTGCGCTGGCCCGGCCGACATCAAGATTGGGGGCTGTGGGAGATTCCGGATGATCTCGGGCTGAGGCGACTCCTGCAAGCAGGGGAGGACCCCCACCAGGTCACCAGGTCATACCGAGGGGAGGGACGAAATACAGGACCTCAAATCTGCATACAAGGAAAGTACACCAGCGAGCTGCCCTCAAGGCAGCCTAAAGCAACGCAGCCCCGCGAGCAGAACACATGGATTTATCAAAGTCTGCCATAGACATCGAATCAAAAGAGTTTGAGACATCTGTCTACCCGCGACACCACGGGCTCCTTCTTCCCACCTTCCAAGCCGATCTGACCATGGCGGTTGTCCCCCCCAGGCATAGACGAGTCCTTACCGACGATCTCATTGGCCAAGTGTCAACACCCGAACTTATATTCCTACCGTTGCCCTCAGGAACCTTTCTAGCTGGTCGACACAACGGAACCAGCGACGGGCAAACAACAGCTTTTACACTTCTTGAGGAAGAGTTATCATTGTCTCCTCTGCATTTTGCAAGGAACACCTGTCCTGCTGCAGTCACCAGCATGGTGGTCATGTCTGAAGTTGCCTCAGGATGTTTTGCCCACCAAAAGGATTTGCTTTCTTTGCTTTCGGATTGCTCAGGTGCACACAACACATGTCACCTTTGGTTGGCCATCAATCTGCATGAATTTTGTCGGCACCTGGCCAATGGGTGAAAGCATCAAACTTTGAACATTGATTCGAGATCAACTGTGTAAGTCAAACAGCGCTTAGATTGCGATAACAGTGCGCCGCAGAAGTTTAGGGCCTTGGCATGCTCATGTTCGCAAATACATCGATTGCGACCCCAAACCCATAGATCGCCGGTCAGCTCTCCGTTGTCATTCATCATGCCTCTCTCATAGCTCAGAGCACCTAGCAGGATAAGCTTTATCACTCCAAACATCTTCGTCCGTAGCTCCAATAGGAAGACGCTGTCGGAGACCCTCCGGCCCAGTATGTTTCAGTCAAGTGTTCCTTTCCAGCGTGTGTCAGACCTGTCAGGAGAGACCGTCTTAGCTACAGACCTAGACGCATCGCGTCGCAAGCAGCAAACTTTCTGCCGACCCGGAACAGGTGTGGTAGGCTCCACAATGTACAGACTGGATGCTGGTCACGAGACTGCTGACCATTTTGGGCTCGTACTGGTTCTCCTCGGCTTTGAGCAGAAAGTTGTGGGGAAGTGGGCATTTTCATGCTGACTCTGCTCTTGAAAAAACTCCGCAAAGTCCTTTCCAGAGGTACTTACCGCTTGGGCATGTACACTGGAGCCTGGAGATCCTACAGCTCTTCAAACAGCTTGACCTACTTGCAGCTTTGTCCAAGCGTCCATGTTGTTGTGGCCAAGGCGTCCAAACCAACCAGCGCCAAACGTCCAGACCCCTGAGGGTTGCGGCCAGCTCAGTGGCTTACTAGTAGCGTCCTTGTTCCTAGTATCAAGGCCAGGAGCCCCTAGTAGCTTCTTGTTCCTAGATGCTAAGGGCGACTTTAAAACAATAGATAGGAGAACCTTCGGTGTCTGACCGCGAAGAAAAGTTGTACTGACATGGAGCGCTTCCTCGTAGTGATCAAAAGGAAACTAAAGCTGCTGAAAAGAGGTCTGGCTTGACAGTTCCCAACATCTTTCAAGCAAACAACTAAGACAACAAACACATCTCCACCTTGACAAACCATCCAAGGGACGCCCAGCTACACGGTCGCTCTCGTCATCCTTCTCACGAGCACAAATCACTGCCGTGTGGTACTGTCCACAACTCAAAGAGATTGGCACCTCCATGGCCAGAAGAAATAGATATGATGACTTGATGACTTGGATCATTGCCAACGGGCGGAACATGAAGCAAAAAAATGTCGAATAAATAGACATATCAAATTATGACATATTATTATACAAGAGCAATAAAAGGAAAAAATAGTTAGAAATTAGAAACGTAGAAAGCCGTAGAGCCACATAGAGCCATAGCAAACCAAAAAAGTTTAAGCTACACCAGTCGAGACCTCCAACATGGACGTTAAGTGTCCAAAAAAAGAGACTACGAACCAAACCATTAAGCCATGAAGGCTTCAGGATTCTTTAAGGAAGCTCCTCCCCACCCTCAGCCAGGGGGAGCTTCCTTGAAGAAGCCTGAGCCCTTCTGGTCCGATCAGTAGTAAGTAGCTACCCCTTACTACGTTCGCTACTTGCTAGCCCACGCTACCCCTGCCCTATCGGCATTAAACAAGAAAACACGACCTCCACTGCCACCTTGTAGGAGTTCTCGCTCTTCGCTAAGGACCGGATGGCCACCGGCACACTGTCCGCCGAGGTGAGCTGTGCTTCGCCCAGGCCCAACTTGCCCAGCTCTGTGGCGCCCCACATCCACCTGAAGGAAGGAGAAGCGCGGAAAAAAAAATACAGTACATGTTTGGAGCATGGTTCTGGGAACCTGCTTGTTTTAAGAAGTGCTTTATGTCTATAGAACAGGCATTAGAGACGATGTTGGCAGGTTTCTTAAAGCAAGGACCCCGAAAGCGGAAGAAGGCAAAACTTCAGTTTGATCACAACTCTGCCTACACTTTGCTTGTATGTGGCCAACGTCAAAGTTCATAAGCAATCACAAAAAACCTATGACACTGTGCCATGAACATGGAAAACATCCAAATTCAGCACAAAGCACAGCTCGTTGTCCTCTTCTCCTCTGCAAATCGCGCCGCTGTGGTCCTCGCTGTTCAGCTCATTCAGCTGTAGAAAAGAGATGTTGAAAACTTTTGGCACTCCGGTGATCATCAGACCCACAAACGCCCATGTGGCAACAAATACATTGCAATATAAATACATCCAACGCAATCAAAATTGACAAAGAATGTGACAACAAACTGGGCTCGACAGTGAACCTGATGCGAACCTCCATCCATTTACAAGAGTGCTTTGCAATCCTTCAGCCCCACCTCACCCGCAGCGCAGGAAAGAACGTTGTGGATATGCACTGCTTTGGGCGTGGCAGTGTCTTCATTTCGGCCCACGCCCAGCTGGCCCTGGATCAGGATATATGCTATATATATATATTACCAAAAACTAATTGTTACTGTTTTGCGAATCTCGTCAGAGGCAAGGAAGCATCTCTGAAATCAATGCCGGACTCTTACAAGTACTGACTCAGGATCATTGGATACGAAGGACAAGCATCGCCTGGTGTCGCCACAAACCCTTGCATGCTCTCAGGCCACATGGATGCTACTGCAACTCCAATAACCTTCGCAACAGGAGCTTGTGTCTGTCCGGCCTTGTCACCTTTCCCCCAAGCATAGGCATTCCCGTCGTAGGTCACCGCAATACAGTGATCACGACCACAACCAATTGACTTCACCAAACGCCCAGAAGGCATTCGGACCACCTGCCAAAGTCAAGAAAGAATGCCTGTCTTGAAATAATATTGCATATGGTTAACGACCTTTTTGAAGAAAGCCACGATGTCTGTGCGGAAGCAAGTTTTGGGAATCTTGAAACTTGCAGTTTCATTCCACATCCCCCTCAATGCCACCCCTTGCCTTTGGTACCCAACTGTCCTGCCAAGGAACAACTGAGCTGTGATGGCCAGGCGGTGCTGAGAAATCCCCTTGACCCAGGTGCTCTATTTCTTTTCTTGATATATTCTTTCTCAGCTTCCTTTGTTCTCCTTTATTTCTATCCCTCTTAGGAACAAGAGGCTACTAGGGGCTCCTGGCCTTACTACTAGGAACAAGAAGCTACGAACGGGGCTCCTTTGGACCTGAGTGGAACTGTCTTTCCCGATGACTTCATTCGCCGTCCCGTCTCGGTCTCCTGAAGCGAGCCTGTGCCCAACTGTCCACGGGCACCACAACCCCAAGTGTAAAGGGCCCCGTGCCATGTCACGGCACAGGTGAACATGTCACCACCTCTGGGCACTCACGGTGTCAGGACCGGTTACTAATGGCTTCTAGCTACTAGTAGTAATATGTAGTAATGCCCTTGTTACTAGTAGCGATGCCCTTGTCACTAGTACTAAATCTTTCTCTGCTTCTACTCAATGATACAGGACAATTCTTGCTCACTGAACTCCAGATCAAATTTGGACGACGACTGCATTAATTTCGGACGTCCAAACAATTTCGCTGACAGGGCACATTCTAAGCGTGCAATCTCCCAGCTCTGCCGACCGCCGCCCGGCGCGCTGGTGCCAGCGGGCGAGCGTTTCAAGGATCTCTCTGAGGGATGTTCCAAGCTCCTACAGGCATCGGGTAGGGATACATCAGAAAAATGTCCGAGCTATGGCAGTTATGGACCCAAAGCAACCCGCGACTTGGATTCAGCTTTGCTTCGGCTCGAGGGCTCTCGACTATCAATATGACTGCAACCCTTCAGATCAAAAGACCTTGGAAGCGTATGTAGGTATTGATGAGATGTGAGATGGCTTGTAAGCTCTCGGCCCCTGGCTACCTTCAGTGACAGTGTATGTCCTAATTAATCCCAATGCTACAAGAGTTTGATGATATTTCCCTCCACTCTTCCTGGCCAAAAACGTGTCCAGTCTCCTCTTTTGCGTCGGAGCCTTCTCCCCTTCTTCCGAGACTTGCTTCAGCTTCGTGGCAAAGCCGTGCGATCCGAGGCTCACGGGCAACTTATGGTTTTTGCTATTGCCTGAACCCGGCTCAGAGGAAAGGACGAAAACAATCAGAGAAACTTGCAGAGTATGGCACACTAGAGTCACTAGAGCTTTAACTTTACATTGCTCTGCTGAATGGCAACCAAATTGAATATGTCAAGCAATGATTCATGTGACTTGCGATCATGAGATATCAACGAAACTCTTGACTCATTGCCAAAATCAGCACGTCTCAAGGTCCAGATTATCCAGAAACGGATTCGCTGCCAGCCCTGCCTGTTCCTAGCCTTCCGCTGGCCCCAGAACCAAAGGTCATGAGCTCCCCATTTTCCATCAACACCTTCCGCAAATCAGGCCCTTGAAGTGTCTGTTTGCAGTAGTCAGACCACTCCGAAACTATGGGCAAACTGAACCTCCATTGCAAGCTAGGCGCCAAAGTGTGGTACGGCCCAGCAGCAATCTGGAGCACCTGGGTTAGCCAAAATCCAGATCAAATTCTTGAGTGAAATCTAGGGCCAATACTGCAAAACGACAAGAGCACACTAGGCAAAACACTTGTTCAAGCTTTAGCACAAGCAAGTCAACCCAGTCCCTTCCAGTTCTCGCCTGTGTTTTGGTGTCGTCACCGAAGGAGACAACACGGGGAGATAAGGAAATCCCACCGCCAACCTGGTTCCCTAAGGCTTCGCCATAGCCTCGGGCAATTTTCAGAGAAAAAAGGATCAAACCTCTAGGTTCTCCGAAAACTCTAGAATGATCCAAATGCTTTGGCATTCTCTGCTAGCAGAAAAAGCTCATGTCAGGTAAATCCCTGTTTTCACCACCTTGCTTGTGTGTCAGCATTTGTCATGGGCCGATTTAGAATACCCCCAGCCCCTAGACTGTGTGAACATGTTGTGAAAAAAGATCTGTCTGCTGCCTGCTGCAGTCTAGAGGCCCCAGGTATAGACAGATTGGATTCGGTTTCCCGCTAAAGCGACGCTGTGGAAAATCCCCAAAGCCAGTTGGGAGACCGGAGCCTCATCCGGAATCTGTATCCTGGAAGCCGAGAAATCGTGTCCTTTCGCCCTCAAAGCAACAAGAGTGTCTTAAGAACGTCTAGTAGCGTCCTTGCTCCTAGTAGCGATGCCAGGAGCCCCTAGTACCGTCCTTGCTCCTAGTAATAAGAACGTCTAGAAGAAGGAAAGCTGACCACGCTTGTGCGTCCTCCTTGGCAGTGGCACATCCATCACCTCTCCCAAGCCCAAGCGGCCATAAGCGCCGAGACCCCACATGTACAAAGATCCTTGGCACTCAGCGCGACATCTGCGACGAGTGATTCCCCCACCAAGCTGGTGCTGCCCCCACACATCTCTCGATTTGATTTAGACCATGTACATCCATGTACTATTCTCATTTCTGTGTCAGAGTGCCTTTGACGTCCACTGCACCACTGTGAACTTCCCCAGCAGCCACCAAGGACATCTTGGTATTTTGGACTGATTCCACCTGAATCCCATGCATTGCAAGACTCCAAGACTCACCCCACAAGTAAAGCAATTTCAGTGAGAAAGACCGCAAAGGTTGAAAAAAAAACAAAAACAACATCCGACATCTGCATATCTGCTACATGCTAATTTTACCATTTGCTTGTGAGATCATGAGGTTTCCCAACCTCAAAAGGAAATCTTGCCAGGTGGCCAAGACCGGGACCAGCTCGTTCCGGTCATGGCCCAAGCCTAGGCGTCCATCTGAGTTGCAGCCCCATACATAGACCTTGCCACCGGAGGTGCTTCCCATGCTGCCGTCCTGACTGAGCTGATACGACTGGAGGATTTGCCATCGGAATCAGACTTACAGTTTTGGAATGAAGAACTGTTTGAAAGTGTGCTCCTTGGCGGTCACCAGCATGGAATGCCTACCTCCGCCTGCCATGTGGGCCACTAGCACCTCGAGGGAAAATACACAACTCCAAGAACTAAACATCTGACTGGGTGGGACTTTGACAAAGACCAACTCAATGTAAAGTAAAGTAATGCAGTATGCCACAGACAGTCCAATCGACCAGTGACTAGTGGTTTGAAACTCCTTGCATCCCAGCCTGCCCGCTTTTCTGCTGTGGCAAAACAACTCGTTCAGGAACTAGCACGTCGCTTCGCCGCCCAACTCCGCATTGACCATCGTTGTTCATCCCCCAAGCATAAAGGATACCATTCAAGTCCAGTGCAAGGCTATGATCAGCTCCGCAAACCACCCGGGCAATGGGAACATCGGTGATCGGAACCTTTGTGGGGCTTTCCACAAACCAAATGTCCTCCAGCGCCGGTGAGGGCATCAATGTTACATCCATTTTCGATGATTTGATAGTAAGGGTGAAACGACTTGTCTGGGACATGAAACACTAGGCTATTGAGGAGAGCCTCTTGCTTTCTCAGATGGTTCCAGCTCTTGTGAGGCTTAAGACGGTCAACTCTGTCTGTTCACAGCTCCACTAGGAGGATTGAGAGGTGATGTCGTTCAAGGTGCTTGACAATCTTCACTTAGCCTGGTGTGGGCGATTGCTCACACTATATGATGGTTCATGATGATGGTATGTCCTTCTGAACTTTTGAGACAGTCTATGTCCTCCAATGTCTCTTTGTCGCCCGCTCCTCCACCTCAGGCGTATCATCATCGTCAGCATTGGGGTTCGGGGAGCCCTGCCGGCCACGGTTCCCAAGACCCAAGCCTAACACATCGCCTCCCGGACTGTGGCGGTGCTTCCGCAGGAAAAGACTGTGGTTGTTCCCGCAGGAGACCTCCTTGGAAGCAGGTGACGGTGAAGCATGTCCCACCCTTGAGCTGAATCCGTCTGTGGCTCCAAGACAGCATTGTGGCCAAAAGGTACAAGAATCGTGAAGGATCACAGAGGAACAACACACTAGCGCTCTTGCTCCTACTAGCGATGCCCTTTGCTCCTAGTAGCTTCTTGTTCCTAGTAGTAAGGCCAGGAGCCCCTAGTAGCGTCCTTGCTCCTGGTACAAAAAAGAGGTGACTCTTAAAGAGTCTTTTGGAGTAAAACACAAGCCGAGCTTCATAAATCCCGGAGCCTTTGGCAAAGTCGTGGCACTCAATTCTCGTTGGGATGCTGGCTTGGTGGACCTGTTCCCCGAAGCCACAAATGTTGTAGACGTTGCGACCCCATCCGAAGACAGGAGGCGCCGTGTGGTCGGTGATGTACGAGGATGGAGTAGACAAATTGGAGACACAAATACCTCAAGCTTGGATGGAACTTTGCAAAATGCAGAATCCAGACGGGAATTTACACTACTGGGTGGTGATTGTTTGATCTAAATTCAATATTCTATTGAACAAATGAGAACCTGAAGAAATCTAGGCACTGTGGTTGATGCCGCAGGCAATCTTCTGTGGTGGGGAGGTGTAGGTGAACTGTGTGAAGTGATCTTCGGAGCTGATCTGTCCCTCCATGGAAGCACATCATGGTGGGCACCGCTGGGCACCCTCTGCCGGCGGAAGTGTAGATCTAGAGTAATCAGGCTGATCTTGCAAATGTCCAATTCTGCTTCTCGGCTCAGAGCTTCTTCAAATGAAAGATCAAAGCTCTGTCTGTGTGTGTGTGTCTGAAGACTAAAGTCTTCCTATGAGTGCGCACTGGAGCCCCTGCACTGGAAATGTCCAGACTGTCATGGAGGCTCAAATCTCTCTTTGCTGTTTTAGGCTCTCAATCATTTCAGTAAGCATTTTGTCCGTGGAAGCTGAATATGGTACGGCGCTCCGTCCAATACCTAGTAATTGCAAGTCCTGCTCTCGTCCTTGTGAACTCCGGTCCAAAAGACTGAGTGAGTCGCCAAAGAATCTGAACTTCACCCTGCGAGGTGAAAACTCAGAAAGTCTGCAGGCACTTTGGAAACGCTGTTTGTCCTTGCTCACTAGCACCTCCTTTCTGTGTGCCAACTGAGTAAGCTCCCAAAATCCCTCTCTTTGCGCCTGATTCACATTCAGGAACCGCCGACCGATGCGCAAGGCACCCTTCTCAATCGAGGACACGCCGGCCTGTGTCCAGTGCCAAGAAAGTGAAACGCATCAAGAGCATTGTGGCATTGTGCTCAAGGCTTTCGCCGTAGAATGCTTTAGTTTCTCATACCGTTCCTACAAAGTGCAAAAGATTCTAGAGCTCGTTCAAAGCTGCGCTGAGCAGCCTGGTCACCCCTTTCAAGGCAATCCCTTTCTCGGCACCTTGCATCAGCGTTGGTGGGGCCGCTTCAAAGCACGAGGCTGAAAAGACACGATATGTTGAAGATATTTGAAGACTGATTTTCTTTAAAAGAGCTTGGGAACTGTGGGCAGACTACCCTAGCACTGAAGGCCTGCTCCAGCGTTGGGCCCCGGACATGGCACGGCCTCCGCCACCACGGGTGGCATAATCGACCTGGGCAACAAACCGCCAGGAGCCCCTAGTAGCGTTCTTGCTCCTAGTAGTAAGGCCAGGAGCCCCTAGTAGCTTTCTTGCTCCTAGTAGCGATGCCAGGAGCCCCTAGTAGCGTCCTTGCTGGACATGAAGAAGTCTCGGATTCCACGAAGTCCCACGCCTTCCACTTGTAGAGGCGCTGGCCATTCTGATCTTCCATGAAGCCTCGCTTGAGCTGCCAAAGCGACAAGGCATGAATTTCCTTGGTCTGCTCTCTGCTGGGCACTCGACGGCTTTCATCGACAAAGTCATCCTGGAATTCGAGCCAACCAAACGTCGAACCGAGTCCAAGTCATGTGGAATTGACTTCACTAGAGCTTGAAGGCTGAAAGCATGCGGGCTTGCGATTGAAACTCGCTGGATTCTACGATGAAGCTGACTCCCATCAGGTTGTTTGCTCAGTATGTCACAGAACTTCCTCTCTCGGATGCCTGTGGGGGTTGGAGGAGCTTTTCTCTACTCAAGTTCCCCAAGCCCTTCAACCAGGACCTCCTATAGATGGCACCTATACAAGTCTCGAAGAACTCACAGCTCAATAACACACATACAGCTTGACCATGAAGAATTGCTCGCCTTTTGAGGACTTTTCTCTGCTGTTTTCGGGCTGGGCTTCTCCTTCACCTGCGCCTGCATGACAACCACACATGTATGCCGATGTTTTCCACAGGACCAACTAGTGCAGACCTCTTTAGCTGGAGTGTGTAGATTGGCTTCTCTCGCGTCTCTTCTATCCAGCTCTTCCATGCTTCTGTCCAGCTCCTTCTCCAAGTCATCCTCAAGGTCAAGCTGAAAACACTCTTCCGATCAGAGCCGCTAGGGCCAAGACGAAAGAGAAAAAGCCAAGCCTTGACCACTTCACATGGCACATAAAACCTGATGATATCAAATCAAGCTTGTTGTTAAGGCCAGACCATCAGGATCCTTTGCTTCCTGATGGCGATAGATCCGTGATAGAGAGTTTTGTCTAAACTTGAATGATGTACCACAAAGACATTAGAGCCTTTGATGCCCTGTCAAGTCCCTGTCCTCCTCCTGAAATTCATCCACCAACCTCTCCAACTCTGTCTGAAGATCATCAGCCACCTCGACTGGTTTCAGAAAGGTTTAGAGGATGATCATGATTTGTAAAGGCCTTTCTCAGAAATAACGATCATATATGCTTACCGACTGTTACATTTAAAAGGACACGCCCTGGACAAAACTACTGTACATGTATATACAGCTCCACTGCGTGAACAGGAAATGGCGGGAGGCTTCAAGAGATGTGTCATGGGACAAGAAATGTGCAAAACACTCTCCCTCTCCCCCTCTCTTCCTCTCTCTCTCTCTCTCTCTCTCTCTCCCTCTCCCAAAACCTCACGACGTCACATCCTCTTTTTCTTAGACACAGTGGCATCAACAGTGGCACGCCTCATCCAGCTCCGTCTCCATGGTCCT